TTGTCTGTTTGATATTTGGACTATGATTAATCTTTCTCCCTAAGTAATCAGCAAATTGCCACGTTTTGGCTACCATTTGGTTTGGTGTGTACGCATGGTTGTATTTTTTAAATGGGTAAGATTCATTGTATATAAAAACCTTACGATTTCTGCCTTTATTTGAGCTATTCTTGTGTTTACCTGAAATGGTAGTCGTGGAAAAACAGGATCGAGCGTCTGTTTCGCAATTCCAGTTTGAGCTGGTCAAGTGTTTGTTTGGCTTCTACGAATATTGTACCTTTTTACTTTCATATCTCGCTAGTAATGGATAACGACGATCTCAAGTTGCTTGCATTGCAGGAAACCTCGTCCGCGCAATACATACTGCAGCAGTTCACGGCAGCTTCGGGTGGGCAGAAGCTACAGAACTCTATCAAAAATGCATATGCAATGGGAAAGGTGAGAATGGTGGCTTCTGAATTTGAAACTGCCACAAGGGTCGTGAAGAATAGAAATGCCTCTAGATGTGCCGAGTCTGGTGGGTTTGTGCTCTGGCAGATGAATCCTGACATGTGGTACGTAGAGCTTGCCGTAGGGGGAAGCAAGGTTCATGCAGGCTGCAACGGGAAGCTTGTTTGGAGGCACACACCGTGGCTTGGTGCTCACACAGCGAAGGGACCAGTGAGACCACTGCGTCGTGCACTTCAGGTTAGGCTCCTGAGTTTCAGTTTTATTGCTGTTGTACATGACATCTGCTGCTTCTCTTGTGCTAGCTCCTTTCCTCTGTGTATTTCTTATCCTTTACATGTTTGTTTAATTAGGGTCTTGACCCCAGAACCACTGCCAGCATGTTTGCGGCTGCCAAATGCATTGGGGAGAAGAAAATCAATGGCGAGGATTGCTTCATCCTTAAGCTTTGTGCCGATCCTCAAACATTAAAAGCTCGGAGTGAGGGTCCTGCAGAGATCATCAGGCATGTCTTATTTGGCTACTTCAACCAGAAGACTGGACTCCTTGTTCACATTGAAGATTCTCATCTGACCCGCATCCAATCTAATGGGGGTGAAGCAGTTTACTGGGAAACCACAATTAATTCATTCCTTGATGATTATAGACCTGTGGAAGGGATTATGATTGCTCACTCAGGTCATTCTGTAGTAACACTTTTCAGGTTTGGGGAGATGGCGATGAGTCACTCCAAAACAAGAATGGAAGAAGCCTGGACAATCGAAGAGGTTGCATTCAATGTTCCAGGCCTTTCAGTCGATTGTTTCATCCCTCCAGCTGATTTGAAAACTGGTTCCGTCAGTGAAGCTTTTGAGCTTCCTCAGGATGAAAAAGTAAAGAACTCTGTAGCAGCACAGAGGGTCAAGGTTTCTGCGCTGGAAAAATCACATAATGGAAGCACTAATAGTATGGCATGGAAGATGGAAGTCTAACTGTGGCTGAGGACTAGGTCATTGCAATTGTTAATAGCAGTTACTAGTGTTTGACTACTGATACTCAGAAGTTATAGTTGGGATTCAGCTGGGTTTTTTTTTGTGGAAGTCTACCTATGCCTCTATTTAATCTGTAAATAGAGCAAAAACAAAATTCACTTGTTTCAACCAGACCTGAGTGAATTTTTTTATACTCTGTGCAGGATCCATTTACAGAGTTGGAGTTTGTTTATCCACCTAGGAATAGAAAAAAAATAGCGACTAATTTTTAGCCGGGCTTCCATACACAATGGAAAGGTGGTGATGAAGCATTGGTTTAGCAGAGACAACGAAACTTGAACTTGGCAATTTAGTTTAGTGTTGGTGGTGGTGAGTATTAAAGAGCCTTCCGCCGACTGCAAGGGGTTTGACACTAACAGATCAATTAACTCTGGTGTTGAAGGATATGCTAATTCCGTTTCTTTCCAAGTGTAGGTATTGTTTCTGGGTTTGGATTGGTAAAAGGGTTTGTTTTTGGGTTAGGGGGGGAAATACTCTTTCTTACCTTACCTCTATGCCCAACTCTTCTGATATGGTATGCAGCTGTAATTTGCTTTTAATTCAGTGCTTCTGAAAATGAAATGTAATCGCCAATGAATGCTCATGGCACGTTAATGCTCATGGCACATTTTGTGTAGAGCTTTCTATTAATTGAGGAATTGATGCGGTTCCTAGCTATGTGTTAAATTAAATGTTCCCTTGAGTCTAATGTTACTATCTTTTCTTGCTATTTTACACACACACACAGACAGACGCGGTTGCTGTTTTTACTCTGAGACGGGGAAAACGGATGGCCTCGAAGTTTTACGTATTTGTATTTTAGTTTTCCGAGTTCCAACCCCCCCGGCCCGGGACTAGCGGCGGATGTATACCATCATCTTTATTGTTTTTCTTTCGGAAAAATTGTAATTAGGTCATATCTAAAAAATTAAATACAAAAAAGTCTTTTAAAATCATAAAATTATTCTAAAGTCTTAAGAGATTTTTTGTCATAAATTTTATTTGTTTAATTACTAAATTATTCTTTTTTTTTAAGTTTGCATTAACAATTAAAAGAGTAGCGGTTGACAACTTAGAGTGTAAGGATTAACATTACCGTGACTGGTTTGACAATTTAAGGTGTGATGCTGAGAAAATGTGTTAAACCAGTCACGGTAGTTGTTAATTTTTATACCATAAGTTGTCAATCACTACTCTTTCAGTTGTCAATGCAAACTTAAAAAAAAAAGGTAATTTGGTAATTAAATAAATAAAATTTATTAAAAAAGTCTTTTAGGACTTCAGAATAATTTCATGATTTTAAGAGATTTTTTAGTATTTAATTCTCTTATGTGGGACCTAATTGTAATTCTCCTTATTCTTTCTTCCTAGGGCAGGTTTATTTAATTATTTGTTTATTTTTTTCACGTTGTTATTGGCTTATTGCTTTGGCAGGTTAGGGTCTTTCTTTTTGATCCATTTGACTGGTAAGAAAACTGTTTTTTTGAAGGAAAAAAAAAAAAAACTTCTGTTTATTTGGTGAAGGTACCAACCTCGATTTACCTCCTCCTCGTGCCCGGTCAGAAAAAGGACAAGCCCCAACCCCACAACCAGAGAGGGGAAAAAACGGTTTTTCATAAATTACCTATTTTTTTTTTTTTTTTTTAACTTCCTGCCGGATGGCTAGTTGGCTCATGTCCTGAATCATATATATTTACCTCATAAATACTCTTCCGGTCCTTAATATAAAATTTATTTAATTAATTTGATTAGATTAAGAAAATTAGGTAAGTTAGTTAATTATAAGAAATATGACATGTTTTTTCTAAAATACTATAATCATCTTTCTTAATATCTTATCTTTCTCTTTTACTTAATTATGGTTGAATGAGTATCACAAGGATAATTTAAAAAAATTGATAAATATAAAAAATAAGTCTTATATTTAAAACCAAAACTAACTCAATAATTGAATTCTATATTAATATAGAAGGAGTATGATTGTTAGTTCTACTTCTAGGGGCTTATGATGAGCGAATAGACCCAAATTTAAAGGGGAGAAAATGAGAACACAAGCAGAAACAGAGAGAGTTGACAGGCACCTATCAGCAGAGCAGAGGATGGCTTGAAATCCATCTTCACGTGATGTATGATTCTCTGGATTGCTGGGTTTGCGGGGGAAGTTAACTTTTGCTTGAAGCTCCTAGAGAGACCTTCTGTTGTCTGATCCAATTCTAGCAATTTTTTAAAATTATTTTCACTGTTGTATTTCGGGATCTTCAACGGGCAAAACACAAACTTGGGTATTTCAACGAGTTCTTTAGCTTTCCCCCTGGAGCTCAATAAGATTAAACTTGAGAAATTATATGCATTGAAAATTTGTTTTGTATTTATAATGAATTTGATTTAATAATAATATTAAGAATTAACTTTCTTCAATCTCTTAGTTCCTACAAGAATCTTGGGGCGGGGGGAATTTCAGAGTGAGAAAAGATGAAGAACAACGTAATACCCATCATACAAGAACCGCCGAAAGAAAACGATGAGTTGCATCAATCAGTGATAAAGGAATGAGGAAGTGTGATTGCATTTGATGCTCTTAGAAGAGTAGGTGACAACAAATAATCTTATAACTGACAGTTGTCTATAAGTGAGAGATTCGGATTTCCCCAGTAATTTTGAATCATTAATATACACTAACTTGAACAGATTACCTCAGATAAAAACATAGTTATATCTAACAAAAAAAACACAAAAGAAAAAGAAGAGAAAGTGCCAACATTAATCAAACTTGTTGAGATCAGCATCTTTTTAACGAGGGGCCACAAAACAGAAATTCATTGTTGAGATGAGGATCTTAAAGAAGCCGACCTAACGCTTGATGCTGATCTTAGCTACACTTATCTCATACTTAAATTCAGGCTTGTACAGATCTTAATCACCCGAGCTAACTCCACTCACCAATTCTGCTTCGGCAATTTACTCATCCAAATCAAAGAAAAAACCCGTAAGCTTGCAAAGTATGATGTGTGAACTCAGCCTTACTGATGGAGACTCCTCAACCAAGTTATGTGGGAGTGGTCCATAGAGCTAACCCATCCGAATCCATACCTTCACTGAGAAAAGGCAGTTTCTAAACCAGTAAATTTTTTCAGGATGACAACGACCGCTCCTCTGGGTACTCATCTCATAATTGGATTCCTGATAGAGACACCTACGAATGGCGACGTATATATGTATGTATCTCTCTCTCTCTATAGATACATACACACGCACACTTAAATATACGTATAGCATGGGAATGAAAGAAACTGGTTAGCTAAAAGTCAAAGAGAATTGAAGGTTGGAGTTGGGTTTAGTGAGGATGTTTATATGAGAAGGGAAGCTTCAACTGTAACAAACTGATTATATATTTAGTCACCAAACCTAGTCGTCTCGTTATGGTCACCAAGATATATATCTTTACATGGCCTTTGTTCTTGTATCTTCATGCCACACCTTAGTACCTAGTAAGATGTGAAGCTACCTAAAACAGAGTCTTGCGTTTATATTATGAGTCTTTCATTGGAAAGTCTCATATAAAGATATTGTAATTTATAAACAAGGGACTCTCTCTCTTTTGGATTAGACTCTCTAGTTCTTAATAGTTTGATTCTTTTTTATTAAACAAAAAACAAAAAGCTGCACGCTCTGCTGTTTCAGAGTTGAGAAGCATTACTAGAATTGGGTGTGTGATTGAAAATCCGTTAAGTTTGAAAGTGTGTTTTTTCATGTGTAGTCATGCTCATGCTCCAGTGGTTCATAGGCTAAAGAGGACGAGAAGTAGGAAGATGAGGTGAAGCACATGGAAGTAGCAGAAAAGGCAGTAAATGATGAGAAGTTGGAGGGATGGGTTAGGTATGTACTGTTCTGAGCTTCCTCGATCTCAGGCTTCGCACCAGCCCCAGTCATTCATCACTTTTTTTTTTTTAAGAAAAAAAATAATAAAGTCATAAGATTTTTATATCATATACACCATATGATCAACAATTCCAAGTAAAAACGGTATTAAAATAATAATGAAACTCGTAGGTTATAGTGCCTGGTTTATTAGACTAATCTTGCTTTGACTTGCCTGATCGCATCTCCTTGTAGTTATTGATATATATATAGATTCCGAAGTTGACTTACCAATATGAAGCTTCCTAGCAGAAGGAAAACTATTTTTTCCCATCAACTTGGGAAAAAAAAATTTGCAGTGAAGCTAAAGATCTGTGTTGAGCACTAACCAAATCTACCCTATAATTTAAGAAGAGTCATAGTGTAATTTTACTCTCGAGATTATAAGCGAGATCAAACCTACAATCTCCTTATTATAAGAAAGTTTTAGTACCACTAGATTTTAAAGCCAATTATGAGATATTTTAGGAGCAGAATTGGCATTAAAGTGGAAGCCTGAAACTGTAGAAGAGCCAAGGTGAGAGGGAATTGGAGTTTTGACTGAATGAACCCCATTAGAGAGACAAGAAGTGACGGCAAAATCCTGCAGAACTAGAGGAATGGGTTCCTTATTTCATTACATTAATGAAGAATACATTAAAAATGTGGAAATGAGGACTTCAAAGTGACGCATATCAGTGCATGCGTAGAGATAATCAAGTAATGAAGTTCGTCTCAAAATCTTAAAAAGAAGAATACAGATATTTTTGTACTGTTATATGGAAATGGAGAGAGTGTCGGCAGAGGAAGGTAGGACTTAACTTTTGGGAGCAGAAGAGAAGACAAGGAATGGAGACACATTAATGAGGAGACATCTGATCTGAATCTTTCTTTCTGAGAAGGTGGTGGGGATATATATGGAATTAAATGAAAACTGAGTAACACAGCTAAAAGTGGGGTTACTACCATACCCTTTCTACTGATCAACTCAGTATCCCACTCTGTGATCGATCATCCTCACTATTCTCATTCCGCCATTTCTCCCATGTGCTTCTAATTCTATCTGTCTGTCTCTCTCTCTTTCTATCTACCTCCACGCTCCTCGCTATTATTCTATTCTATTCTGTTGCAGAAAAAATGACAGCCAAGCTTCTATCTCAGCACAATATTCCATACTTGTTCAATTTAATTATGCCATCCGGTTAAACATATTTGTGGTTTATCCCTAAGTTTGGCCTCAAAAGGTGAATCTTGGCAGATTTCAACAGAAAATGACAGGACATAAGTTGTTGTTGTGGGCTTTGGGGAAGAGAGAGCACACAGATACATTCAGAATTCCTCTCTCTTTTCTTTTACTACCTCGTGGTCTTTAATACAAAAATTGTATAACTAATTTAAAAATATTAAAAGTTAAGCTAGTTGTTTTTTACAAATATGTGTTGATCTCTCCAAATTATCGTCCTTATCTTTAATCATATTATTGGAATACCCTTTATAAGCATCTTTTGCAATCAATAAGGATATTTTAAAGAAAATGAGAAAGAAAGTAAATTGAAACCTTATATTTAGGATAAAATCTAACTTCTCAAGTAACTCTTATATTAAGAATCAAAAGTATTATTTGGTTTGACTACATAAATAGC